TGCCTGCTCCCTTAGCACTCGTGGGTGCATCCCATCAGGGCCCATGGACTTATGGGTGTCAAGTTTGCCCAAGTTATCTCTAACTCGATCCTCCTCCACCAAGGGAAAGTCTTTCCTTCTCCAGACTTTCTCCCTGGTCTTCTGTGTCAGAGATTGCTAAGGGCTGGCCTTAGCAGTGAAGACTGAAGCAAAGAAGGCATTCAGTATCTCTGCCTTTTCTGCGTCCCATCTTGCCAGGGTCCCTGCCCCATTCAGTAGTGGGCTCACTTTTTCTCTAGTTTTCCTTTTGTTAATGATGTATTTGAAGAACCCCTTCTTGTCCTTGACATCCCTTGCCAGATTTAATTCCAAATGGGTCTTGGCCTTCCTTGTTGCATCCCTGCACACTCTGACAACGTCCCTATATTCATCCCAAGTGGCCTGTCCTTGCCTCCACCTCCTGCACACCTCCTGCTTATGTTTGAGTTTTGCCAGGAGTTCCTTGTTCATCCATGCAGGTCTCCTGTCCCCTTTACTCAACTTCTTGCTCAGAGGGATGCACCGATCTTGAGCCTGGAGAAAGTGATGCTTGAACACTAACCAGCTCTCTTGGACCCCCTCTTCCTTCTAAGGTTCAATCCCATGGGATTCCTCCAAGTAGGTCCCTGAAGAGGCCAAAGTTTGCTCCTGAAGTCCAGGGTTGCGATCCTACTCATTGCCCCGCTTCCTCCACGTAGGATCCTGAACTCCACCATCTCATGGTCACTGCAGCCAAGGCTGCCCCCAGCCTTCACATCTCCAACTAGACCTTCCTTGTTTGTTAGTACAAGGTCTAGCAGCACACCTTTCCTTGTTGGCTCCTCCATCACCTGTGTCAGAAAGTTATTATCAACGCTCCGCAGGAGCCTCCTGGATTGTTTGTGCCTGCTGTGTTCCTCCAGCAGACGTCAGGGTGGTTGAAGTCCTCCAAGAGAACCAGGGCCTGTGATTGTGAGGCTACTTCCAGCTGTCTGTAGAAGGCCTGCACCAAACATCCACAACAATGTCACTCTTGTTAGTCTGCCCTTTAATCTTTACCCATAAGTTCTTGACCCGCTTTTCATCCGCCCCTAGGCAGACCTCAATACGTTCCAGTTGCTCTCTCACATAAAGGGCAAATCCACAGCCTCACCTTCCTGGCCTGTCTTTCCTAAAAAGCATGTAGCCATTCACGACAACATTCCAGTCATGTGAGCCATCCCACCACGTCTCTGTAACTGCAAACGAGATCATGGCCCTGCAAAGGCACACAGTTTTCTAATTCTTCCTGCTTATTCCCCATATTGCATGCACTGGTGTACAGGCACTTCAGAGAGGTATTCGAGCATGCAAGCTTCCCAGGAGGGGTGCAAGAGGATACCCCAAAGTCATGTCTTGTAGGCACTTCCTTGGCTGCATGGACTTGCTGGAGGTATCCCCACTTGAGCCTTGTTTTGCTGTCTGGGTGGTCTCTATAACTCTCCCCTTCCCACATCTTTCCTAGGTTACAGCTCTCCTTGCCAGGTTGGCCACTCTGTTGGCAGACGCGTGTGCCCCGTTTAGTGAGGTGGATCCCATCTCTACCAATCAGTTGTTTTTCAAACAGGGTTCTTCCATGGTCATAGAAACCAACACCCTGTTCCCAATACCAGTGGCGCAGCCAGTTCTTTACTTGGAGAATCCATCTACTCCTCCTCTCACCCTTCACCGTAACTGGCAAGATCGAGGAGGAAACAACCTGGGCCCCCAGACCCTTGACCACCATCCCCAGAGCTCTGAAATCCTGTTCGATAGTTTCCAAGTTGCCCTTGGTATCATTGGTGCCCACATGGAAGAGCAGTAGGGGGTAACAGTCGGACGTATGGACAAGCCTTGGCAGTCTTTCCAGGACATCTCTTATTCGAGCCCCTGGCAGGCAACAAACCTCTCTAGACAAGAGGTCAGGTCGGCAGATAGGTGCCTCTGTCCCCTGCAGCAGGGAGTCACTTGCAACAATCACTCATTGCTTTTTCCGGATGTTCCTGCACGGCACAGGGTCTGTCAGGCCAGTGGCTTCCCTTGAAGCCATGCCCAGCTCCTCCTCAGCTTGCAGGGCACTAAACCTGTTCATCAACTGCAAGGCTTCAGGAAAGGCAAGACCTTTTCTCCAGCCTTCATCCAGCCTCTCCAGCCTTCATCTTCTACAGAGTTATGACTTACTGTTTCACATGGCACAGACCCCACCTGCATCTCCACTGCTGTGGGGAGTTCAGACTCCTGAAGCTGTAGGGTCTCTAAGAATATCCTGTCTAGCTCTTGCTCATCTTCACAGATGCTACACAGCCTGCTTACTTCCTCCCATAACTCCTTGACCTGGCGACACAGCTCATTAACAACTGCATATTTTCTGCAAAAGAGCTGACTGTCAGCCCCAGCCTCACGGAGAGGGCCCCAGGCACTCCCTGCAACCTGAGACCTGCAGAGCTACATCCACTGTCAGAAGGTCAGTCTGGGTGGAAGCCTCTGACACAGCAACTCCAACAGCACTGGGAATGAGCTCTGCAGCATGTTAAAACCATACCTGAGGAAGTGTACACTACTAAGACTGGAGATGACGGGGCCTTCTTGCACCGTTCTGCATGAACTGCTGCGTCTGTTTGCTGCCTCTGTTAGCTGCACTAAAATGCCCCTACGCTGTTGACTGCCAAAAACGGTGACAGTATGCAAGAGGAAGGATCTTCTTCAGGTGTTCTGTGTCTTATGTTTGTATCCTAAGCTGTATTGGCTGCTGCTTAAGAGAAGATACTGGACTAGATGGACCATTTTGACCAAATATTCAGTATTCTTCTATGAATTATTTCATATTTTTAATGAACTTAGAGCCTCTAGACTTTTTTCTTCAATTATTTAGTTTCTTCAGCCAGCATCTTCTTTGTGTTTTTTATTCTTTTAAAGGCAATGTTGGGCTTTAAAATTCTTTTTTTAATCTTGCATTTCATACACAATATGTATTTCACTGTCTCTTTTCAACTGTTACTTTTTTCTCTGCTCTGATATTTCTCAATTCATTTCTCTTCTCTTACTTGGAGTAAGCACTTTACAGATCATATAATGTGCAGAAACAAATAGAATACTTTTGTAATTTTGTGATTACGTATGAAGTACGTACCTCCCCTTGTTCTCCACGCAATCCTTTTGCTCCCTTTAGAAAGTAATACAAAAAAGAAATATTAGCAAAGCAAGTCGAAGCAAATTACTTGGGAACAAAAACATAATATTTTTGTCTTTTGTTTTAAAAATTAATTATGAACATTAATTTTAAAGGTTCTGTGATTCCTATTTCTACAAAAAAAGTAAACTGTATGTAAGGATTAAAAATATGTCATGGTGAGTAAACGCTTTAGTAATACCTTTAACATCACATACAAAAGGATAACTTGGGAATATAGCATACATACTATAAACTATATATTGTATTATTGTACAAGAAGTGCATAGACAAAACATTATTAACTCAACAAAACACAAGAGAAACAAAATTTTGCGGTCTACCTAGAGGAGACTCTGTATTCTATTTGTTCAATACTGTCTTACTAGGCAGAAATCAAGCTCAGAGCCGCTGACGTACAAATGTATTTTGTATGCCAGAGGTTACATTTTAGCAAACAGTTCCAGTGCCCTTTCTGCCAACTGGTTCAATGAAGTTACTGATCCTTCAGTTCCACGGCAAGACGGCAGCTCGGCTCAGGCTTTTTCACTTTTCTGATGGACTCTTATGGACAAAAGAATCTGCACTGTACCTTTGAGAAGTCCTGGAGCCTCTGGAAACCCGAGGAGGACCTACATATAGCACTGTCCATCAAAACTATCTGAATCATTGATTTTTTTTGGTTGTTGGCCAAACTTGATAAGTGTGGGAAAACAGTTTTAGGCCAATCTCATATTATTTTTTGAGCTTCTTCAAAAAAGTAAGCAGCTACAATTCAGGCTGTATCATTCTATCTGAAAAAAATATGTTCTCTTTCACTATCATTTTATTTTACCTTACAATTAAAAAAAATATTCAAATACGTCCATTATTCTCAAAATGAAAAAACAAAAAGTTTAATTTGTAAATGTTAGAGTAGGACACTATATTTGGTTAAAAAATATCACTGGCCTTTTAAACTTTTTTTTCCAAAAATTTCTGCTCCGCTTTACTACCAGACTTCTGTCAAGCTACATACCTCTGAGAGCGATAAAACCAGGCTAATATACAACGTAGACGTTTTTGCCCCTGCTTCACTGGAATTAGCTCCTACTGGCTACACAGGCAGCTGTATCAATGTCGTAATTCTGAAAAGCATAACTATGACTTCCTTCCAAGTCCAGTTTTAGCTATGTACCTCTAACAAATACTTTTCTCTTTAGACATGACATAGATTATGTAGTTAACAAGTATTTATAAATACTAACAGTTATTTTCTGTGGTGTAACAGCATAGCCAACTATGACACAACTAAAATACATTGACCCAGAGTTAAAAGAAAGAGAAACAACTGGATCTCACTGCTTTGCAGCTGAAACAGGAAACATCTGTAATTTCTGAGCACAGAAAAAGTCAGCAATGACTCCCAGTATACTACAGCAAGTAATGAAATGCATAAAACTGTAGCATGATGCATGCAGAATCTTAACATGTTAAGCATCACTCATAACCTTTCCACAAAAGCCACTTTGCACTGTTTTATGTTGTTTGTAATTGTTTCATGAAAATTTTCCATCATGATGAATCTAATTAAATAGTACAGGAAAATGTACTTTCATTCTCTTTCTCCAGACAAAATCTCCCAGAACCACAGAATCATGTTGGTCAGAGAGGACCTCTGAGGTTCAGCCTCCTTCCTGCTTGGAGCAGGTCCCGTTAAAGCAGGCTGCTCGGGGCCATGTCCAGTGCGGCTCTGAGTGTGTCCAAGGATGGAGCCTCCACAGCCTCCCTGGGCAACTGGCTCCAATGTTTGACCCCGCTTCCGGCAAAATGTTTTTGCGTTGCATCAAGTTGGAATTTTCTGTGTTCCAACTCATGTCCGCTTCCTCTTGTCCCTCCACCATGCACCTCTGAGAAGAGCGTGGCTCCATCTTCTCTACATACTTGTTTTATTGGCTATTTTTAAAATATTAGTTGTTTTATTCAGATAACTATAAACTCATGTTAAATATTTTTCATCTGATGTACAGAACTATCCATGCTGATGGAAGCAATCTTAAGCGACCATGAATTGTGGCTCTCTTAAACTGAGATCATTATTTTTAATAGTACCTGCAAGCCTGAGAGTCCTTCTCTTCCTTTCTCTCCTTTTTGTCCCTTCAGAAAAGAAATGCATCATCTTAAAATATACATTTATTTGGGAGGGATAATTAACCTACCAAAAATAATACAGAGAGGTAAATCCTAAAATCTCATCCTAAACCAGCTTCAATCAATCTAAATACTTATTTTTCAAGAGTTCAGAGTAGAACCTGGGCTGGAAGGATATAGTTTCTACAAGATGGATAGATAATTTTAGAATACTTATATTTTGGAATAATGAGATAACATTCGGATAATTTTAGACTATTTTAAAATATGTAGATAATACCCCTGGTTACAATATCATAGGCAGGCAGAGGCAGGGTGGTGTTAGCTGGGTTACGAAGGTTTATAGGTCCCCTGCGACCACAGGAGGCAGGCAGCCCATCTCCACGACGGACCCAGGATGGGGCAAGGCAACATCCCCGTGACCCACAGCCGGAGCCACCCCAAGGTAGGGGCCGCGCAGGGCTGCCCTGGGTGCAGGCAGCGGGCTCACCCCCGGGCAGATGTACCAAGCTACGGCGCAGCTACCCATCTTCAAGCACGCCTTCCACGGAGCTTAATTTTTAAAATTCTCTTGAATCAACTTTTAACTCTTATATTAATAGCGATGGAAAATGATTTTGATTAGAAACAAAGTTGATATACCTGGATACCACTTTCACCTTGGCTTCCTTTGTCCCCCTGTAAAATTTTAGAAGAAAAGTCTCCACTGTAACACAATTTATCTCACAGATAAGTTATCTCTGTTTTAATTTAATTCAATAAATACAAGAGAAGCACCTACTAGCCTTTATTTATGTTGAAAGAAAACAAATCACTTTATCCCTGTGTACACAAACACTGAAAAACTGATATATGATACAGCAAAGAAAAAAAAGATTTTTTTAAATCAGAAAACATATTTATATTTAAATTTAATCAAAACTGTGCAAGAACTAAGTTTCATTTTCACCTGCTCCTCTTTACTTTGATAGAGATTTTTACTGTAATTAAACCTTGCTGGGGTGATTGGCAACGGAATGGGGCAAAAGGTACTTAAAATAAGGCATCTAGGTTTATCTAGTTGTCTGAATACCATCTAATTGCCAATAGAGAGAAACAGGCAGCTCTCAAAAACAATTCATCCCAATTAACAACAGAGGTATAAAATAGACACTTCCACAAGGGGCCTATCTCTATTACTGAGAAGGAAGCTTAAAGTTATGGGAGGTGGCTCCTGACCTAACTCTGACATCTTAAATCAGTGTGACTCTGCTAACAGATATGAATCAAGATGTTGGGCTTAAAAAACAGCAACTCATGAAACGAAAGACGGATCCATAAGGGTCATGCAAAATTGTCTTTAATAAAGAAAAGAAGCTGGATGGAGGTTTTGTTTTGTCAGTTACCTGGAAAAAGCCCAACATGTATGCGTGGTTTTTATTGGTGGTGGTGGTGATTTTTTAAGAGAGGCTATTTAGTTAAATGGAAACAGTAGCAGAGAGGAGATTTTGGCTACGGCAAATATTTTCCTGATTAAAAATTCCTCAAGATAGGAAGGTATTTATGCCAACTGTATTCGGGTGTATTGTACTTGAACATAAAGTATTTTACTTGGATTCAAGTTTTAAAATCAACTGAAGGGCTCTAGTTTATTGTCAGATGCCCAAACTGTACTTTTTGAGGGGTTTATCATACTTAAAGAGTTGTAACTTCAGTTAACTTCCAACACATATCCTGACTTGCATCTCCAAATATAATGGATGTTTTTTGCAAAACAGACTTACCATCTTCAGTTTTAAATTTAGAGATGTTCCATACTGATTTTAAGAAGGGAGATTTTGAATTACTGCTTTGGTACATACACTCCACATGACCCTTCGGTATTGGAACTACATGTGTTGATAATGAAATTATTTAAATTATTGTTATGATGCTGGCTCAACTCCCATCACTCTTCCATTGGTTTCAGTGCATTAAGTCAGGAAGTCTTTGTCCCTATATGCTCTCGAAATCACTGCCTCAGAAATTGTCAAAAGAATAATTTCTCCACGTTTTGCCTTGGAAAAGGGAACTCAGGCTGAGACATCCTCACCTAGATTTGGATTGCTCTCTAGCCTCCGCTGACTGTATTGACCAGGGACATGCTTCAGTTGGCTTAGCACAGGCACACAGCGCTATTTGGCGCATATGGCAGAGGACATCTGGAAGACCTCTGCTCTTCTGGAGCAGAAGCTAAGGTCTAGCAGAATATCTCTACGTGGGATATAGAAGGGTGGTGGTGTTTAAATACAACACCACCCTTTTAACTTCCTGCTTCACTTCTCCTTTCTATACTAAAGTATCTGATTCAACTGCAACGCCTATTACATGAAGGTCTTCACCTTCATAAAGGGGTCCTCTACGTTTCTGGTGTTTCTACACAGGTGTGTTATCATTTCTGATTTTTGACTAACTGCTTATTCCTCTCTGATGCCTTACCCGAGCTTCCTTTGCCTTTACAGGACCTCTTGCTTATCCTGAAATCTGTAATCTGAATGCAAATGTAATGGGAAAATACTTGCCCTAGCTGACACTCCATTATTTCCCAGAAAACACTGCTAAACTTCTAACACAAGTGTCAGACATAGGACCTAAAAATACCTAATTTACTTTTATATAAAAAATTTCTACAAGCTTAAAGGTTTAATTTGAGCTGATAGCAAATATAGCAACATTTTCAACCTTGACAGCTTGTTGCTTGAATAAATAGGTAGTTTGAAGGGTTTCAGGTAGACCTTGTTAACTATAATAAACTACATCCTAAGGAAACAAATCTGTTATATGACATCCAATTCAAAGACACAGTATAACAGTAAAAGAAGCCTTATACTCATATGCATCAATTAAGGAACGCATTTTTACAAAAATTTTCTTTGGCCAATTTGTAATGTTTTCCCATAGAAATAGAATGAAATACAGGAAGTAATAGCAGTACTCATTATCTTGGAAAACAATGAAACATTTAATTTTCAGGATATACATATTGTTCTATGAAAGTTGACTAGAATAAAGACATTTTAAAGCAAATATATAATGGATACAAATCAGAACTTCAGTTAGAATTAGAATTAATAGATTTTCAGCAATGCAATTATTTTGACTTAAAGTAATTTTAAACCACAAGAGCTGCAAGGTCTTCAACACAGGATTTCTCTCCCCAAATCATGTTACTGAAGATCACAGGGAACATTTTTTCCCATCTATTTCAGATAAACATGTAGTATTTCCTTCTCATAAATTTGCCTAAGAGCATATGAAAAGGAAAAATTCCTGGACTTTCTCTACTTCTTGGTTGAGTTATATAGAAGGAAGGTGCCACCCCTGGAAAACATAATCTAGAAAATGCGACTTTGTTAAATTCTGATAAAAATCTTTGCAGCTGCCCACAGGATGTAGCGAATAATGATTTTCAATTGCTTCTAATTTTTAGTTTCTTAAATCCCATTCTATAACTACTTCATAGCTGATTTTTCTCCTCAAGAGAATCAATTCACACTGCAGTGAGTTACATTAAGAAACAAAAAAGTTAGCATTTGAAAACCAGATTTTTCTAGGCCTTTTTCAGCTCCCAATCAAACTAAAAGCATTGCATTACTGGCTGACACAAAACTGAGAAGTTTCAACAACACATCTCGCAGAAGAAAATGTAGGAGGAAAGCATTTAATGTAGTATTCATTATAGTCTTAAATTATTCAAATTTCAAAAATACTAAAGATCTATATTGCCTATAATGTTATCAACCTGAGACTCCTTAAAGACATGTGATTGTCATAAAATTCTGCATATTTAGACTTTAAAAATAAGAGGGACTATTCTAGAATTCAAACATCAATACTAAATTTTATAATGTTTTCACAAAACAATTCTTCAGCGCTGAAAATTTTCAGTATAACCACACGTCTCTAATACTTTTTGACAGATGCAACACTGAACTGAGAGACTGCAAGATCCTGAAGTTATGGCCGCTGTAAGAACTCAGTATGCAAGAGGGAAAAACATAGGTTCTTATTTGAAAAGAAGATGCAATTTCCAACATTGACCATATAAGCGGGATCCATTTCACGTAATTTTTGCCATCTAAAACTTCGACATATAATTTAGCTAATCGTCTAGACTTCTTCTATAGTCAATGGGGATATTTAAGCACTTTCAGATGCATCCCATCCTAAGAAAGGCATACAGTAAAGATGTGAATGAATGTACCCCTGAGGAGCTGAGACTCCCTCAACTAAATATGGAGAGAACCTGGGCTACTTGGTGAGATCAGATATGTAACTCTTAGTGGCTAAGGCTAACTGAAATGAATCTGTCCCAACTGCCTATAGTTAATTGCTCCAGTTCCTAGGGGATCTCCACAAAAGACTGTAGAATAGACTTTGTATATATAGCACTTGCTATAAGGAGATATAATACAAAGTAAATCATAGAATATACCATTATATACTATAATTCATCATTAAAAGTCCATTAATACCTACTTCATAACATTTTATTTTAATAGTTTCTCCCTTTTGGTCATTCTCTCCTCTCTAGGAAAAGTGATTGGTTTTCTAGAGAACGGACCTTCCAAAATTTACCGACTTTTGTCCAATACTAATGATGTATTAAAAAAGACAGGTTTTCCTCTAATAATGTTCACTTATAGGAAAAGCACTTCCAACAAAAGCTGTAAATAATGTAAAACGAGAAAAAATTGCTTACCTTTATACCTTGTGTGCCAGGGATGCCTGGGTAGCCTGGTTCTCCTGGAGCACCAGATCCTCCTAGTTCTCCCTGAGCAACACAATAGCTCCATAAATATTAATGAGGTGTTGAGTGAGAAACATACTGCACATTTTTCAAGATCATTTGATACATTTTGGCTATGATATTCTGAAATTCTATGACTTACGATGATTAAAATGTCTAGAGAACTTGGGAAGGGATGCTGAATACAGACAAGCTGATTAATGCCACAAAAGGCTCTCCTAATTCTTCACTTTAGCATTCAAGTATATATGCATTGTAACTAAGAAGCAAATCATGCAAAAGTAAATCAATCTCTCCTTTAACTAGAGTACCTCCAGATTCATATTTACCTTGGCTCCTGAGGGTCCTGGTTTCCCCTGTATTCCAGGTTCACCTTTATCACCCTACAAAACAACGTAAGAGTGCAGCTGACGCATCAACATGTTTTGTTACATGCAGGATGAACTGCAAGCATAAACAAACACTGCTGGGAAATCTGCTCTTAAAAATAGTCACAGTGAATGGCTACAGTTCTGTCCCCTTTCAGTAAACCTGAAGTTTGAGCCCTCTTTCAGGAAAGGCAACAAAGATCTGCCTGCCTCTGCTCACCTGTCCCTTCCCGACCTGACAAATTTTCCCTGCCCAGTCATACCATATTTGTGTTGACTGACTTCACATTTGCATCATCTAATTTAACAAAAACTCTCAAAATGCTTGCACTAGTCTGAGCCAAAATATACTTTTATATTTTGCTTTTTACTGAAGTCGACAGAAGTTGCCATGTATTTAGCACGAGGTTTTCATTAAAAATTAAGCATTATGGATTACAGTCTTATGATTTTTCTCTGGGAACAGAGTTTATATTCTTAATGAGAGAAAAATACATCTCTTTCGTCCAAATGAAAGCATTTTTCACCAATGAAAACAAAACTAGTTTTTTTTTTGGTCATTTGATAGGTGTTCCGTCTTCTTGATAACAGCAAAATATCGACCACTTTAAAAAATGTTACCTTCAGCGTGCAATTTTAAATAAGTATGTAGTTTTGTATATAAAATAATGTACATGGAAATGGAGCTAACTGTAGATGCAAAGTTTGGGAAATGGAATTTATATTCCTAACTATTCCCCAGGACTTACAATTCAGTGCTTACTAGTCAAAACTCATCTCAGATTAAATTAAAAGGCTACAGTAACATATATGGATTTATAGTATCTATTTTAGTTTCTGAGAGCGCAGGTCAAATTAATTCTTCCTGTAGCTGCAGTACAATCAATTGCATTACATCTGAAATAATTTTGGCTCCATGGATGGAAAAAGCAACACATAACTTTATTTAACACAATTAAAATATAAATAAATGTAACACAGGCTGAAAGTTCTGATGTATACTGAGAACTGGCTCGTAGCACTGGAGAACATTTTCCAGGACTGTGCAGCTCAAACAAAATCTCACGACTGTTTCTGGAACAGTTCCAAACCTCATGAGATGACAAGCACCATTTGCTAAGCTATATTAAGCTCTCTCGAGCGCAGATACTGGACTATCGTAAAAGGTAATATATGGAAAACCACATAGCTACCTTTCTATATTCAATATATGGAGCAATTAGCTGCAAAACTCAAAATCCTGTCATTTTGTCATCAATAAAGCAGTCATTTATCAATGTCACAATGTCACAAAGTCACAAATGCTCACCTTAGGCCCAGGAGCTCCAGGTAGACCAAATGAACCTTCTGGTCCCATCAAACCCTATTTATTTTTGAAAAGGCAGAGATATTTCTAAAATAAGCTAGAGGAATAATAGCTTTAGTACAGTATATAAATTATTATTTATCATACATATTTCTGCAATGAAATAAATGGAGAGGAAATACAACCTTGCACAGTAGATTAGTTAGGCCTTCTACAGCCAAAGGAAATGTTACTACACAATGGAAAAAAACAACTTTTAGTAGGTCCTTAGCTATAATTCAAAGTGATACAAGAACATGTTTCTTAGTTTCCATTTAGGGTTCCCCAAAACAATGAAAATATAACTGGTATTTCAGGACTGGCTTGTTTCTTTCTGGCAGTATGTCCCTCAAGGTTGTGATGCCTTCACTCTACTTCCAAACTCTGACGAGATTTAGAGATAGCAGTTAACTTCGGGGCCACACCTTCACTTCTTGTGCAGAATCTTCAGGATTGAACCACTCATTCACACACTCACCAGCTTCTGCCATTTCAGGTCATGACACTTCAGCACACATGCATAGGCAGAGCATTGCCACACTCAGTCCCCTGGGCTCCTCTGATGGACATGTGTTGATACAGCCATGTTTAGCTGTCTTTGGTCCACACACAAACTAAGAACTAAAGGATAGTAAACCAACAACTGCCTGGGTTTCTCCTTTTTTTCTACTTAAAGTTACTCCCAAGTATACTTCAGAAAAGAAGACTTATTTTTAAGTCATACTTTCCAAGATGGAATTCCCATGTTTAGTATTTTCCACATCTGTTGTTAATATATGTCTTTCTCACCACTTCATCTCACTTCTCTTTGACTCTAGAACTCCGTGTATCAACAAATATAATGCATTATTATTGTTTTATTTGGACATGCATACATACTTTGAAATATGATCGACTATAAAAGTTTACTTGACAAGATACAGCCTAAAATACAAGCATACAGAAAGCCAAACACTTAAATAAGGCCACGAAATCGTTTGTTAGAGATTAAGTTTGATCAATGTTTCTAATTGTTAAGATTTCCAAAAAGCACTGGATTTTTATTATTTAACCTAATTTTTGCTTTCATATGATCTGTGATCAAAAAAAAATAAGTTTACAGTAATTTGTTGCAAAGCCTGCAATTTAATTTTGCCAAAAAACATTGTAATGCTTTTGCTAAGACTGAAAGGATGGCTTTGTTTTTGCAAATACAAAGAAAACAAATTTAAAATATTTGGAAAATGAAGTAGTTCTTTGTACCAGTGCTTTAACAAGTATTTAATCAATTTTCTGGTATTTCACCTGTGCTTTCTGTTAACTGAGGCAACAGAGATAACTCAGGCTTCTTTCTCGCTGTGTTGCAAGAAATTACTGGACACCAAAAACTTTACTTTCCATTGAGAAACACACCAACTCGCTCTTTGGGCCACAGACACAGGGCTGTGAGTACATAGCATAAAAGGTATCAATCACAAGACTAAAGCTCAAGTAACTTTCCTGCTAATTGTCCTGAGGCTCAGCCTTTTCATACTCAGCCAGTCACACATGAAAATGCTCCTATTAAACCTCAATTTCTCTAATATAAATAATAATTTTATATGTGGCATCACTTCAAACACTTTTCTGAACTCCAAAGATTAGATCTGCTTGCTCTTACTTATCTCAAAAATCAGTCATCTTATCAAAGATGATGCCATTAATCTAGTATAACCTATTTTTTCTGTAAAGCAAAGGTTTACTATACCCAATGCCATTTCTTTCATAGTTTTGGAGTAGAAATTATCCGTTCTCCTCCAGCTGGAGTGAGGTCTCCAAGTTCTACTTCCACCCACAGCCTAGAAGATAGTGTTGTCGCATTAGCCATTTGCACATTATCCAGCAGGGAAAAGCAGGCACAAGTTTGGGGAGAGATAGTGTGGAAGACATGAGAAATGAAACTAGGGGATTTTTAGCTTCTTCCACATTACTAGCTTAGCATGGCCCTGTGTTTCAAGTCATGTAAGACGCTCCTGAGAGCCTATCCCCTACTGACACCACACTAGACTCCTACTTGGTGCCTGCATCACTCCCTGAACTGCAGATGTCATTAAGTGTTCATCACAGATATCCTCTGTTCTTCCCCTGTCATTTGTACAGAGGGCAAAAACTGTGTGTATAGCTGGATACTTTTTTTTTGTTTTTTGTTTTTTTTAAATTAGATCGGTTATATGTATATATCCTCGCTGAACTGCTAATGCATACTGGAGAAAGCAAATCAGAAAACAGGCTTAGTGTAACTAAAGGCCAGGAATACATCTACAGGAAACGGAGAAATAAAATGCAGTTGTTCCGAGTTTTACTTTAATTACTTTTACTTTAATTACTAGGCCATATTCAATGTATTTTATTTTAAATAATACAGTAAGAAGGCTACAAGGAATCAGCGTGCTACAAAAAGAAAACTTTCTCATGCAACATAGGAAAAGCTCGAGAACATAATCTGAAAATTATTGCTTAAAACGAAAGAAGAGTACGTCCTGAGCAAAAATAAATAAAAATTCAAGGACATAAAACATAGCGTTCATCACCACCACGACCCCCTACCCCGCATTTTCCAGGCCTGTCACTATTTATGCATCAGATAAATTAATAAATTACTGATGTTGGCAACATAATAGGCAACATAATTATTACTGAAGAAGAACTTGTTACTGAAGAATTTTCCCAAAGTATTAATAGGCCATCCACAAGTTTTCCATCTGTTTTTTCTGGAACAAACATAGTGTGACTAATACAAGGAAAATCCCACCATCTTTTCTGGTTGAAGTTCCCTAATGCCATACAAAATATTCATATATTCCATGCATCAATTTCCTACTTATTTTATCAGGTGAGAAAAGATGCATTAAACTGAGTTGGTAGGAAACATTAATAAATTATTTCAAGTGTATTACACAACCAGATGTTACCTATGAATGGTAGGCGAATTATTGAATAAATAGATACCCTTTGGAATCCCACAAGGTTCTATTATATTTGCAGCCTCACCTTGAGCATTTTGTTCAGCTTTGCTCAGCAAGAAATAGAGAAAAAATTTCCACCGATAGGCAATAAAAATGATTAGAGGCACAGGTGAGACACCAAATGTGCAAGGAGTAGGAAATGCTTATACTAAAGATTTGGTGGAAAGGTAGAGAGAAACGTCATGCTTTGAATTGCTCGCCCTTCGGGTAATGTTTCTTCCAAGAGTGATCCAGACAACTGCAGTAACTGGATCCCAAGGAAATGTATTCTTTCCAGAGAAGATCCGTAGGTGGCTGAAAAAGTCCTTTAAGATCACAAAAAGAAAATTCACCGGCGTAGCTGCTTTATACAAAAGAGCTTCTGATGGCTGTCATGCACTGCTCATGCCTATCATAGAGCTGGGAAAGGAAGAGCTGCTAGGTGGATTCAGGGTAGCTGAATGTTGTGAAGAAAATTCGAAATGTGTTGGGTGATAGAGTAGCCCAGAATTTGTAAAATGCCAAAGTGGTTTCAAACTTTCTCTCCATCCAGGACCACACTGGTTTTAATTAACTGTGTATTTTATTAAGGAATTGCAAGTATGAAAAAAGACGTAAGCTCCTCAATACAGTTACAGACTTTCATATGCCTGTATAATCTGTGTTACCTGGAAACCAGGTTCAAGTTTTTTTATCCAGCATTACTCATAGAACGAGTTCAGGGCTCTTTCCTTTGTCTGTGGTTACCCACACAGAAACATGACAAAGCACAAACTGCACGCTTAGTTCCTCTGAATCTTCTGGATGAAAACCAATAAAACAAAGTGAAAAATGAAGAAGAAGAAAGGAAATAGGAAAGTAGGTAAGATCTGTGGACTTCACAACTTTGAGAAGTGTATTTACCACTTAGTAACCTCTTTAAAAAAATCAAAAAAATCCAGAAAAAATCCAGAAACTAAAACTATCTTCACTGGCTAGGTGCAGGCAAGAGCCGCTAAGCTGCATTTGACTCTGTCTTTTGGTGTTCCTTGGACAACAATGGCAACATGGAAAAGGCATATAACATTATCTCCCCCTGTAACATCTACTCTAAAGTTGCAGAATTCTGTAAAATAGATTATTCTTCCAATTGCAAAGATACAAAACTTTGGAAAACCCCACTTGTAAAAATGAACCCAAATGCAAACTTCTCACTCTTAATTCAATATTTGGAAGTAAGATTGTCTGACACCATGCTCAAGGCTCACAAATGACTCAGACGTAACGTTAACTAGGATTTTAGAGTGATTCCGTAAGAAAACCAGAGGATCAGAAGGTCCACAGTAGGCATCCTGATGATTAAGAAATGCAAACCAGTCCCCTTTCAGAGAGCCTCCCACTGTCCCATATTTGACCAGATATAAGCATGGATTTCTTTAAGTTCAGAATGAGCCTCTCCCCGTCTTCCACTTCAATACTGGAAAGCGGCCATTGAGCACCCTTCTTCTTTTGGAATGGAGGTAATCCGGCCTGATGCCTCATGAGATCACAAGAAAGTTCACTACTGATGAAACATCTTCATAAGGAAATATCTTGGAAAATAGATGAGGTAGGTAAATTAGGAGACAGCACAGTTAAGACATTGAATGAGAGAATCTCTCTTAATGATCTCCAAAATCCAAGAATCTGTAGTAATGTTCTCTCATTTGATGCCAAAGCAGCAAGAGGCTTAAGGTGAGAGCAAGGGCAGTAGAGAGAGTAATTTACAGCTTCCACCTAAAATTTCCAAACTTCAAAGTTACCACTGAGCTAACAACCTACATTTGCCATAGACTCATTATTTGTCATTGATGGAAGAAACATAGTGACTTCTAAGCATGGCTTCCCTATTTAGGGATAAAAAGGTCAGTGCCATTTGTACCTACAAAGCAGACATCTGCTTCTAAGCTGCTCCGTCTCTTCTTCCTTTTCATATGCTTAATCCTAAGGATTTTTCTGAAGCTCTGTCCAGAGTATTTTCCCTTTGCTGCTATTTAAGTCTCTCCGCTTAGACCAGCTGACTTCTTTTACTACTTCCTTTGATTTATCCCTCCATTTCAGATAGACTCTATGACTATTGCTCCAAGATTATTTTTTGCAAAATGTTTTATATGTGTTTACATGTTAGCTATGTGTTAATGTTTTACTTTATGCGGTTAGATGTTAGATTCTTTTTTGTCAAAACAATGCTATCACAGTATTCATAAGAATCTGATACTTCTTGTTGGTTTAGCCATTAGAAAACTGATCACTATCATTACCAAAATAAAAATCACAGATACAGTTGGACTCTATGATTACTTATCCTCCATTGCATTTTCCAATCTAAATATGTTATATATTATAGTTTCCCACACTGTGTAGTAACATTACAGAAATACTGAAATTTCCCAAGCAAATATTTTCACTGTAATACCTTCTTGGCTTCCTGAGAAAATGGAGTCGCACATTCAGCCTGGACTGAGCATGCACAGTCCTGTTACACGCACGAGATACAGCGAGTCTCAAGACAAGGCAAGAAAAAAAAATTATCTTTTTCCCATTGTTGTCATACATGAGAAAATTTGCACATATCAGTGAGCTTCGAATCAAGAAGTGCTCTTATTTTTCCCACTGACAGGTACTATTAATTCTATATCCTGAATACAATGACATAAAATTATTTGTAGTTCCTGATCATAATAATACCAATATTACTTACAGTTTCCCCTGGAGATCCTTTTGTTCCTGGTTGTCCTGGTGGTCCAATTTCACCCTATAATTTTTCATATAAGTAGAATACTTGTATAATTAATGTATATACAGCTCGTTAAAATACCCTTTAGTTATGCAGAAATGTTTAACCCAGACTATTTTTCAAAGTATTAGAAAATTAACTCTTTTTTTTTTTTTTTAATCATGCACTCCTGGAATCACAGAAGACTAAATGAAAGATTTTCAAACATTGCTACTATGAAAACTCTCCTCTCAGGGCAAATTGAGCCCATAGTTTAGAAAGGGTACATATGTGCACAGCTTGTAACTGTGCTTTGAACTGCTAACAATACCTTTTGTCCTTTTGCTCCTTGATTTCCAGGGATTCCAGGAATTCCCTGAGAAGAAAAAAAGAAAACCTTTTAAATATATAGAATAGTTTCTCCAGAAAATAATATATATAAAAATCATGTCCTTATAAATTTAACAGTAGCCATATGATTAGGGTTCAAAATATGGGCAGGAAATAAAAAATTAAAAAAAAATAAAAGAAGAAGGTTTCAGCTGCAAATATGCAAACCATTTCACCCCAGGGATACAGTGAAACCTCCCAGTGCTTTCCTGCCAGGGCTCCAAGCCTGCAGGTGGGCAGGGTCACGGCACCCTGGTAACCCACTGCATGCTGGAGCGCTGCCCTGAAAATCCTAGCTAACACAAGGGAAGAGATGGTTTCTCTTACCCGTGATTTCCCACTGCAGAAACTACAGCATGAGTTTCGCATCTTCAGTCTTAAATAAGCAAGCTGGCTTTTAGAGCTATCATAATACATCTACATAATCAGTACTTTGTGCTATCAGGAACTGTAATTTCAGGCAAAAAATCTTCTTTTACAATATGATTACTTGTAGCTAGCTTCCTAAAATGATTATAAATCTTCACTACATGCTACAAAACATAAAGTTTCCTATAGACAGGAGTGACTTAGAGCGTTTCTCCTTCCAGCAAAGGTCCTGGTCAATAGGATACCGGATTTGATGACCAAGCACAACAAGCCCCATTTCCCATCTAAAATACGGCGACTGTTCACAGAACACAAGAGATGACTATTATCATATGTGAAAGGTGCTAGCTTCCACCCTCATAAATACTTGGAGATTCCTAACATTTACTCAGTGTCCTTGCTCATTTAACTCTGCAGTGTACCTCACACTGTTTGCTTATAGTGATAATTTAAATGAATATAATTCGGCCTTTGAAACAAAACTCCACGTATACTTAAAACACCATTCTAAACTCAATCAAATTCTTCTCTCCGCTAAACCTATTTGTTCTTACTTGTATCGTCATTAATTCACAGTAAATCCATTGCAGAATTTGGCATACTGACTTTACATTTTAATCTAATATTTTAATTAATATGCTCCAGGGAAAATGGTAAGTGGATTGTTCTAGACATTACCTAAAAAAGGCACTTTATGAAAAAAAAAATACATACATACATATTTATATACCAACCTGAACGTACCAGATAGGAATAACATGATGGTCATTTCTGTAAGAATTACATTTGTGCAACACTGGCTTGGAAAAGGTAGCACAGTTTTGCAGTTTGCACCTGCCTTCCAGATCCTAGTAACTCTATCAGAAAGAAGCAGTGTGGCGGTCAACGGCAAACGACTTAGCAATGGTATTTCACAAGTCATCGAAATTCCAATTCTTCATTAAAAGAAGAGATCACTGGACATAATACAATCAACTGGAAAAAAGGCCTCGTTCTATGACTTTCACTCAAATTGTGTAAAGAGTCTTCTTGCTAAACTGCTGTTCTTTTGTCCAAACCCGTCTTAGATCTTGTGCACAAATACAGAGATAAAAAATGGGGTATATTTATTACCACATTTAGGATATTCCAGACCTCTTCTTGAGTTCTCAGTACAATTATTTACTAGCTAATTGCTGTAACTGTAAAATATAAAGCTTAAATATAAATTTCTGTAATTGTAATACAAAACTGTGAATTTCATACGTGCTGACAAAAATCTCCCAGTAGGCAGCAACCTTTTTTTACTGAAGGCATGTGCCAAAGCTTTTCATAGCCACATTTCTGTGCTGTCTTCAGGGCAAAGAGGGACCACTCCCCATACACAACACAGAGAATGATTTATGATCATATAAACATGCCAAAGAAGAAAAAATACAATGTCTTGCTGAGCTCTGTTGAACTTTCTTGCCTAAAAGGAATCACTGACACAACACCTTTAACTTTATCTTTGTATCAATGGCAAAGAAGGATAAAATTCAAAGAACAATAGGAAAACTAAGCCATAATTTCTCTTTTTCTTTTTTTTTTAATTGATTGATTCTGCACAACTGAAGCGCACGGAATTTAGGCTCTTATTTCAGTGGGAGCAGGTCCAGATCCTTAAAATTCTTGCATAGCTCACTGACATTCACTCACCTAAGAATGAATCTATCATTTACATCAATCTGAGTGATTCCTAGAGTACATGGGGTGGAGATTTTCAGTTATTCACCACATGTCATCTGGCACAGAAAAAGGAGAATCAAGTGCCTAATTTGGTCATAAAAAAAGTTTTTTCCTCGTGAGGGTTACTTTCCTGTATAGCTTCCATGGTTCAGCAATTGCAAAGACTAATTTCTGTAGGATCAGGTTCAGCATGCCTAAAAAATTAAATTAAATTTCCTTCTCAGTATCTGTTCCCAATCTATTACTTCCTTATATATGGTATAACACCTGGTCATGCCAATTAGAATTACTTGCACTTTCCCAAAGGAGAAGGTTAAAAAGTAGTTTAGCTAGCCTGAGTTTCTTCCCTAACTTCTAGGTTAAAAGCCAAATCAAGTTTTGGAAATGTATTAGAAACCTCATTCCCAAACAGAGATTTCACATGCAGTACAAGTCTTCCGAATATGAGCCATTTTTTTTTCCACCATTAGTAATAAAACACTTTTAACAGGAAGTTATGTTTAATAGGGTGACATAACACTAAGCCATCAAAGAAACCTTACTGTAATTATCAAAGGATGTATTCTCATTTTAAAGCATGAGCTGAAGCAATTAGTTTTACTCCATTTGTAAAATAAAAATGTAATTTTTGTGAACCGTATATTGTAACTAAAATTATCACAAATGCCTGTCTTTAATCAAAACTTAACATGAAACAGACCCATCATGCAATTTTTCTGCCATTAAGGGAAACACAATGTTTGGAACTACTACAAATGGGAAAACTGCCACCCGCTGGGAGTAACAGAATAAATGCTATGGAATAATTCATGATTCACTGGCCCAGGAAAAAGACTGCCTTTGGGGGTGTCCCTTGCAAAACTATCAGGCAACGTTTTGTTCAATATGAAATACAAAAAAGGGGAAGGCAATTTTCTAGATTCTCTTTTCTCCCTCTTTTCAGAAAGCTTATTTTAAATGGTTCATATTTATCATATATGCAGTTATAATACCAATAAAACACAGCATTGCATTTGTGACCAGAATAGCTGGAAATCAAAGAATCTACTGCACTTTAATGATTTCTGTCCTTACACGTGAGTTAGACCACATTACCCCCCTGAATCAGTTAATTTGTTCCCCTTCTTCTTCTACACCAAATTTAATGTAAGGCTTATTCACTATTGTTCCATTTTTTTTAAATTATATGTATTGCAAGCCTGACTACTGCCTTAGCTTTTCCAGTAGCGTCAGTCTGACTTCCTCCATAACTTAACTTCCTTTACATACCCTCTCTCTTCTCTGAAATTTTCCCTTAAATGGGAAGTCCTGCCTTACACCTATAGCAACCTGAAAATTATTAATTATTTTAACCTTAACCAGTAAGTGATATAATCACACAAAATTTAAAGCCAGCAAGATAGCCTAGAAACAGGTGGTTCACTGGTTTAAAAGTGTGGATATTCAAAAGTTTCTCAACAGCAGCCTTATCACCCACAGCTAACTTCGCGCCCAGGAATTACGTGACTACGTATCAGTTAGCCCAGCAGCTAAGCCAGATTATTTAATTATGCAGACACCTCTCTCTTTACCCTTCCTTTACGTGGGCTCCTTTGCCCGTTCAGTCACCTGTTTCTGCCTCCCACCGCGTGTTTCGCTGCCCGTATCTACCAGCCCAGCAGCTGCCCGAGCGCTCGTCGCAGCCCCTTGGAGGCCCCGCTGTAGGTACCCAAAGTGACACCTGAGTGTCACCGAGGCAACCAAAACAGCCGCTTCTGTCTTTAAAAAGAGATGCCTGGCCCCCCTAAGTAGTGTCATACATGCCAGCTCTTTCAGACGCCCTGCGATGCCTCAGATGGCCCCGGTGCCAACGCGTGGGTGACCAAGTCCCACACCTTGACGCCGTGCTCGCTGGAGCAAGAATCACCTCTTCTTCTTCCCTTGCGTGCACTCGCCTCGCACAGCTGGTTAGAGTCCAAAATCTCCTGGTAAAGCCTTCACGTCGGCTAGAATCACAAGACACGTAACTGCAAGGCAGGGTACGCGAAGGTAAAAGGAGCTCGGGGTGTGTTTGACATGTGGGAGACAGCAATGCTCACCCACGGGCTGCACAACTGCACTGCAAAACGCAGCTCACCTGGGTATGCACCTAAATCCCCCGCCGCACCCTTCCTCAGCAGCTCTTAAATCCCTCCGCAGCTGGGAGTTCAGCACACCCAAAAGCACAAACTTGTTTCCGGTATGATTATGAGCCTCAGTGGTGATACATATACAATCCGGTATAAATATTCAGTTTTTATCTCCGTTTTAGCAATTTAAATAAATCTTCCATTCTTTGATAATACCTGGCAGATATAATGGATTTAACTGTAAAAGGAACGTGGTTGCACAGTCCCTGGAAAATCTTTCTGTAGCTTTCATTAATCATAAAGTGTCTATTTTTGTTTTTGGATGATATTAAACAGCTGGATTTTTTTCCATGCTGTTTTACAATAAATCCATTAAGTAAGTGGCCTGAAGCCTTATGTTTTCAAATCAACTAGGTACAAGCATTTTAACTTGAGGCACAAGCTACATTTCTCAATATATTTTTCCCACTTTTTCTAGCCAGTATTATAAATTATTTATACCTCCCCCTCTGCTTAACTTTATATTCATGAACAGTGGAAGAAAGCATGCAAAAAGACTTCTTCTGGAACAAAACAAAACAGAAAATATTTTATTCCCAAAATGGGTATTTATTAGCCTATTAAGTTCTTTATTTTCTGTTACTCCATTTAATATTCCCCATCTTTTCAGTACCTAATAGTGCTTTACTCTTTAGTACTGGCACACCAGCCCTGGTAGGGGAAGTGGAAATTTCTAGACTACAGCTAACAAATTAGTTATCATAAAACTGTATCTCTGGAAGATGAAAAATTATGCATAGAC